AAAAATAGAGTAGATGCCTAATTTTTATTTTAATGTCCATTTCATTTGTTTAAATTCTTTTAAAACATTAGTCACGTATTTTACATAAAACATAATAATATTTTACATTCAATAAAAACATAAATTCATGTAAGTAAATAAGAATAGAAAAAAATATTATAATGAAATAAATACATATTACATAATGAGTTGATTGATATTTAAATAAAGAATATTAGAGCATCTGCTAAGTTCATTAATGTACAACAGTTAATAGATGTAAGTAGGTAAGTTAGAAGTATGCAGTTGAGATTAATCCAATAGTAATTCTAAGATTAGAATAATAATTTAAATTGTCAAAGTTATATTTAGTAAGAGATAAATTGTTTGAATATTAATGCATGCATGCGTCCTAGCTCGTGCTGTGCTCAATGGGGTCCATAATTTAATGTAATACCTTTATTTAGAATGTGGAAAAACAATAAAGATATTGAGTTTTGAATCATAAAGAATACTTAGACTTTAGGATGTTGTACCTCTGAAACCACAGACATTTTACCATAGGTATATTAGTAACTAATGTTTAATTTTAAAAATCCTATCTGATGACATTTGACATGTTGATATTGAGGGGTAGGCCCAGACTTCATACATTTGTTTCGCAAATCTGTCCTTTCCTAAAAATTTATAAACTTACGGAATTTAGTATTTTCCGGTGATGTAAGTATACAAATGAATTACTGTTCTCGACTTCGTAAATGATTGCCAATGTTGGACTTGAAATATTCATAACACTTAAGGGAAGATTTGGATTGTTATGAAACAGAAAATTCACACAAAACAGAAGATTGACATAATATAATATTAATTGATGTATGCTAGCCAGATCAACTGGTTTATGGTAAAAATAAACTGTAGAATTTATTTATTCAATTTACCTTTTGATCCTGAATATTTAAACACATGCTGTGGAAATTCTGCCAATTGTACATCAGTGAGAAGTAAGGCCGTCAAATTTAAAGTTGGGATTGCATTTCTTTTCAGACGATTGCCTTTTTTGTTGTAATCCTGTTTTCTAAAGTGGTTAGCACAAACACTTCGGTTCTCATGCAATTTTTCTATTGGTAGATGAACCAATTCTTCATTTTCAACTGCTTTTAGACAGTCTCGGCAACTGAAACACAAAAAATTAATGTTTACTCTTAATAACTACCAAACTATGTAATAGCAAAATATATAAACATAAAAATTTGTATCATACTCTTACTACTTTATATTTATTTACAAAACGGTCTTACAGGTGGATAATAAGCATTTAAAGAATTTTATTCCAATAAGGACATGCATTTAAATTTCACTTCTGTGTTCACGATGATGCTAATAAACATTATTTACATGTAACACAAAAACCTCACTCGCTCGCTTAAAGAAATTTTACCCCAGCATTAGCAACATCTATAGTTGTGTGCAGTGTTCGAATATTAATGCACATTATTTTTTTTAGTCTTAAGTTAGAACTTTATTATTAAAAAATGTGGGTTAATCTGTAATTGGTGACCGTATTAAACTGTAAAAACCAAAAACTGATTATTGCCTACATATGTCTTAATACAGAAGTATACAGAGGCTTAACGTTTATATTTAAAAAACAAATAAAATTGTTCTCCTTATAAGCAGGTAGTACCATAACTCGCAAAAGGTTAGTTCTTTTTATAATTGTAGAGTCATTATACAGTCATTAATGGGATTTTCGACAATATCAATACAATAAGTTAGAAATGTAATAAATTTGACAGAAAAGAATAGGTTAACCTGCTTACGACCGTACATCTCTGTGTACCTTTACAGTGGGTAAAAGATTTGATGTTTTGTTTGATTTGATGTATCAATTCAAGTACTACAGTGATGATTGTAACATTAACCAAATTAAGTGATTGATAACCTAATTTCCAAACATTTAAAGTGTGAGTTTCTCAACAACTCCATACATTATAAACTCGTAATATACTAAAAATTTCATTTCTGTCGGATGAACATTCAATTTGCATACCAAGGTGCTCATGGTCCTTTCATGTTTTAAAACTTTATTTGAATTCAGCTAATCTTAATTGACGGTTCGAAAGTATCGTATAAGCGATGAATTGAATTATAAATTCACATTTCCATTAACAATGGGTAGTAAGTAGGTACACACCGATTTGGATCCAGATGAAAATGGGAAAAATGTAGTTTGTTAGCAGTAGGCCAAGATTCGTTCGTATGGCAAATTTCACAACGTCTGTGACCTTTGCCCATGATGATGTACAAGGTATTCACAAACACAAACTTAGAGTCACTGTCTCGGTAATAGGTAATAATAACAAATTAATATAAAAGAGTCAAATATCTCACAAGAATCACTTACACTAACAGAGTCAATGTCTCAATAAAACCACGTGAAGATGAAACGGAGGAACAGTTGCTCGACTCAACGTTAAACACACAATAAAATAAATTATTCTATTAGGTTAAATTCCGAAATCACAAGGAAAAAGGAAAAAACAAACAGAATAATCACAACACAAAAATTTGCACAAAGACGGCAGCCATGTTGTGTCAATTATCGGGAGTACTAAGTACCAAGTTCGTTTTGTTGTGTTGGTACCTCAACGTTTTTCTGAATGTTGGTACACTGAATGTTACGGACTCCATACAAAATAATGTTTGTTCTAAGTTTCACAAGACTGATGATTTCATGATTAAATAAATTCAAATGTCAAGTTATTTTTGTTTACACATTACTTCTATTTCGAGTAAATAAAAGAACGCAATTCCAGTGCAAAATGAAGGTGGAGTTAATGGAAAGTATCGTAAAAGTAAAAATATTTATTTATATATTTCAATACAATATACACGAGAAACAATACCCTTCCTACAGTGGGATAATTATTGTTTTGAATAGTTTTTCTGTATTGTTTGACCTATTATGCATTGTTATTTCTATTCCAGGATCCCAGGAGTTGGTCTAAGCCAGCTTTTTAACACCACACACCACGTCTCCTCCATTAGAGAATGAATAGACTGGCTCAGAAGGCTAAACTTGAACTGACAAAATTGATCTTGTAACTTGATAATAAAACAAGAGATGATGCTAGAAAGTGTCAGGAAAAATTATGCTGATATTATCAGGAAAGTGCTGACATGGTGCTCCTTTATAAGTTTACACCACCTAACTTTGTTCATGTAAAATACAATATGAGACAAATTAAACATTCTTAGGGTGATTTTTCCAATGCCAGAAAGATTATAACTGAGGAATAACTTCGGCAAATTTGACCACTATTCTTCCCAACTTTTTAATGTGGCAGAGCCATGCTTCGGCATAATTTGCTCGACTGGAGTTATACCACGGCCTCTCAGAAAAACCAATGTGAAACAATGCTTACATTGTGTTTCATCGTGTGAGTGCGGTTACCGGAGGCCCTGTTACAAATATTAGTACTAGTCCTTGTTTGTTGTCCATAGTTTTAAGCATAATAATGTATTGTTAATCCCTTTATTTATTTATATACTTTACTTACATATTTTTAAATATTTGATTATATAAAAAATACATTTAAAAATATAAAAAGCAGTAGCCCACCAGTAACGGGAGAAATCCAAGCTACCGGTGGTCAGGGCTCCAGAGAAAGGATTTTCCGGACAATACGTGCCGTGTCCAAAAGTACTGCTTTCTGCACCAGACCCTTGACCCAACCGTCTATCGCTAGCCTACTCAGATGTTGGTCGAGTTAATATTGTTATATAGTTAACTAGTCGGCTCCTATTTTTTATATTTTTAAATATTATTTCTTTTTTATTTTATTGTAAGTAGTATTTAAAAATGTAAATTGTAGAGATTTTTAACTAAATGTATGATAGTAAGACTAACAATACATACGCATTCAGTGCCCATGACGCGTCTGTGCGTTTTGTAACACGACGCTATGTGCCCGACGACTCAAATATGCGTTCTATTCATTTGACCCTTTTTTTACCTGCTGCCCGTCGACGCGTCCGAGGGTCTATTGTTTCGAAACCCATATTTACACATATGTACTTCCTTATCTGATTTCTTTGATAAAGTTCATTACACACTTTGTACGCCACCTTGACCGCCACCAACGAAAATTCTGCTAAATGGTGCACAACCGAAATGACTATAAATAAGCCTCTGTTGGTCCCCGCCTGCGATGCTTTCCATCAACATTTATAAATTATATTCAGTAAATTTGTATTCAAAATAAGTTTCTGTTTATTTAACTATCGATTACGAACACATATTGTAGTGTATTTTAATATAGGTATTGTTTAAACGGTATTACATAATTAGTTTTTAGCATTTGATTGATCAATATTATTGTGGGGCTTGTTTTACTCTTTTTTTAGTGTGCAGTCGGGTATTTTGTTTTTTTAATTCAAGAAACCTATCAATATAAGAAAATATCTTTTCTTAACGTTTCAGAAACATTTTCTGATAGACATTTTGGGTTTGTCATTACGCAATGGGGTTGGCCGGTCAAAGCTTAGCACAGATGGCGCCAGCATAGCTAGTTCTTTTGTATTGGCGGCCATTGTTCTGTCACATTTCGTTTACAAACTTACGAACTGTTTATTCGCTCTTCTGTGACTTGAAGACGCCCGTATAATTGTGATTGCTTGTGGTTTATTATCGAAACGTCATGTATTCCAACTGGCGGATCAAGGAACTGAAAGATGAGCTCCGAAAGCGTGGTGCTTCCTTACGTGGAAAGAAAGCAGATCTTGTTGAAAGGTATATATTTTGTCTGTCTTATTTAACTTATTTTACTTGTCTTACCATGTACATTCATCGGAGATTAACTGTTTCTAAATTTAGTATCACTTTAAGTGATAATTTCTTGTTAATTATAATGAAACTGTAAAAACCTTGTACTTAAACTAATTCATATTTTAGGTTGGAGTTATATGACCAAAACTTTAATTTCGACCGTCCTGACAAGGCTGATAATGAAGATTCAAAGATGCAGTTACCGTTAAGTGAAACCTATCGGGATATTAACAGTAACACAATATTGCCACCCCTAGATAAAACCATGATCAGACATTATTTATGCTAGTAAGTATTGTAACTTAAGTTAAAATTAAATACTTAAGAAGATAGTTGACAACTGTCATTCACAACTATTCTTATATTTTCCAGCAAACACAAAAAAATTGATACAGTAGTGCGGTTATATGAATCACGTCACTTGCTGATGGCACGAGCTTCTGTGGTTGGTGACAATACATTCGTAAAAGGATACTGCAGGAAGACTATGAAGAGTCTACAGTATGAAGTAGATATAGTATTAAATATTAATGGTAATCCTGAAGCATCACACTGTGAATGTCCTGCTGGAAGTGGAACGAATGCCTTGTGCAAACATGTTGCAGTCCTCTTATTTGGCATTAAGAACATGGTACGAGAAAAAAATCTGCTTCTGCAAGAAGTATGTACCCAAAAACTGCAGCAGTTCCATGTGCCTAAAAAGCTCTACACTGGTACACCCGTCAAGGTTGACGGGTGTACCAGTGTAGTGTAAAAATTTTACAGGAGAAAAAGCAATCCAATTTTTGAACCATACCCTCTCAAAAACACAAAAAAGGTAAATTATAATATTAGATTCCGTAATTTGATCCTTGGTTTTTCGAATTCCCGCTTGCCTTTAAAACAGTTATATGAGCCTGCTAACCCATATGGACTTGTGAATGATCACTTGTATACAGATATAAATCCAGAAAACCAGTTTTTCAAAGAAATGAAGTTGGATAAAATTACTATAGAAGAGGCAAATATCATTCAAAATGATACCATTGGCCAAATAGAATGTCCTGAATGGCATAAATATAGACAAATACGGCTAACAGCCAGTAACTTTCATATAATTTGTAATTTAATGCCAACAACTATGGCAAAATATGCCAGAGAAATAATTAATAAAAAAAAATTTACATCAAGAGCGACCAGTCATGGACTGTTAAATGAAAAGGTTGCTTTAAGCAAGTATGCTACTAAATATGGTCTTGTAATAGAGCCATGTGGTATATTTATAAGTTGCGAAAGGCCACATCTTGCTGCATCTCCTGATGGTTTACTGGGCACACTCCTATTTTTTCAAATATTTTTTAAAATGCTCATATATATCAGATAATCAAGGATTATTTTTATTTCTGCAAAATATACCTGCTAAATGTTAAAAAAAATATATCAAAAATTTGACTTAAAATATACGCGCCAAAACACCGACCGCCATGATGGTGGCGGCGACTGACGTCATATAAACTAAAATGAAGAAATGTCAAAATGCCAGTTTGTCTTGTACTCTTGTAGTGATTTAATATAATTTAATTTCAAGTAAAAATGAGTTTTTATAGCCCATATCGTTGGTGTGTAGCGTTGAATTGTAAAAATTCTACGTTGAAGACTCCAGAAAAGTTATTTATTAATGTGCCGACCGACGTTTCTATGAGAAATGTTTGGTTGGAACTCGCGGGACGAGATCCTGTAAAATATTCTAAGAAATCTCATTTATATCTTTGTGAGGATCACTTTGACGTAAGTACATAAGCTTTTTTTATTGATTTTTATTTAAATTACGATATTACTCTCTTTTTTACTATGTAAACGAGACTTTGAGGTTATTTTTACTACATAGCTCGGTATCATTGCTCTGCTTAGCTAAATAACCTACAATAATTATTAACATTTGTTTTTAGCTAGAGCAAGACATGGAAAATTATATGCAATATAAAATAATGGGCTCAGTAAAGAAAATCAGAATGAAACCTGGCATTATACCATCTAAGTTTAATAATATACCCATTGTGAGTCCTGGCCAGGAAGCAGAGAGCTCTTCAACAAGTGTACAACCTGGTTCATCAACATCACGTAAGTATATTTTATTTACCAAGCTTTGATGGTGCTAAAATGATAAAATATTTAAACCTAAAGGGAAATTTTGTTTCTAACTGAAATCCTACCATTTACATCGTGTCATAGAGAGGTTGTGAATCTCAGCCAAACACCATTTACATCATGTCATACAAGAGGTAATCCCAGTCAAACACAAGAGAGTGCTTTAATAAATAACCATACAGCCCACTTTATTAACTCAACTTAAGTTTAATGATGATCACTCACCATCGCATTACTTTAAATTATTACAATGGAAAGGCTGCTCTACAGATTCTTATCTATTGTTTTCAGATGTTGTGGAAGTGGAGGAAGATGAAAATATTTCACACAAGGCAGATAAAGAAGTTCAAGTACAGATAATGCCAGTTATGGAATACAAAGCTGTCCAAGTGAATTTATCTGCCCATTATAGAAGCAAAGCAACACAAATAAATTTAAAAGTGCGGCACAGCACTACATCTCCAATAAAGTTAAGCACCTCAGTTGCCACTTCACCACTCATTAAAATGAGCACTATAGATGTACCAAGTACATCAGGTATCACAAGACCAGCAAAAAGGAAATTGTCTACCTTGTTCGAAGACCAGTCTGATAGTGAGATATCATTTACTCCATCAGTATCTGGATCAACGAGTCAAGACTTCTCTCCAATAAAAGTCACAACATCTGACAGTAGTTTGCCTGAAGAAATTCAGAGGGACAAGAAAACGAACTTAGAAAACACAATCTTAAAAATAAAGAAAAAGCCTAGACTCTATATTGGTATCCCTAAGGAACTTTATTTTTTACTAAATATCATACAAACACAGACAAACATTTCTGAGGCAAATATTTTGTTGTGTTTGACAAAAATTAGGCTAAATAGCTCATTTTCACAAATATCTGATGATTTTGGTTTGTCACTATCACAAGCAAGTAAACTTTTTTCAACCAACATAATACCAATCAGTAAAGTAATGTTACCTTTTATTAGATCGTTTACAACGGAGTCAATAAAATTAAATTTACCAATAGCATTTAGACATAGATATAATAAAGTAAGTTGTATAATAGATTGTTTGGAGATAGAAATACAGAAACCCACTAATGCAGTCCACCAAGCACTGACTTGGTCCGAGTATAAGAAGGCCAACACAATAAAATATTTGGTTGCTTGTACTCCAGATGGATTAATAAGTTTTATATCTGCAGGATATGGCGGAAGAGTAACAGATGTACATTTATTCGAACACTCCAAATTTTTAGATACTCTCCCATCAAACACATGTGTCTTAGCTGACAGAGGATTCAAGCACATTGAAACATATTTGTCTAAAAAGAACATAACTTTATTAAGGCCCCCAAGTGTTGGTAGTGGTTCCAAACTGTCAAAAGCTGAGGTACGTCAGACAAAAGAAATAGCAAGCCTCCGGATTCATGTGGAAAGGGTGATCCGAAGAATCCGGGAGTTTGCTTTTTTAAAACCACATTCTGTGGTTAACATAAATTTAGTTCACCTTCTTGATGAATGTATTACTACTGCATGTGCTCTGATTAACATACAAGATAGTCTTATTAAATAAATACATATACAATTTTTTTTAAACTTTTATTTATACCCATAATATCCCAGCCAACTGTTCAAACCAGATATTGACATATGCTATTTATTACATTAAAGTGGACAGTATGTAATTGATATAACCATGTAGTAGAAATATTAGGTTTTTCATGATTTTGGTAACTTGCATGAGCTAGTTAGAAATGCAAAAGTAACTCTGGCAGTCTGTCTGTTACTTCTTTTCTCTTTATCCTATGAACAAGTTTGGTTAAAACTCAGTATAGAGGAGATAAGTTTGAGGATTTTATCTAAGGTGTGGTTTGAGGTCCGGGGGCATAGGTAATAAAGATTCATCCTAAGACAAGGTACTGTAGCTAGTGGTAGAAGCCTTGGGCTAAAGCATATAAAATAAAACAATACACATAAATACTTACAAGTTCTATATTTTGGTACTTTCATACAAAATTGGATATATATTATTTTTCCAAAAAGGAACAATTTTGTCCAAAAGTTCCTGTACTACTTTTCTATCATACTGCACCTCTACAATACTGACATCATTGGAAGTCTCAAAATCACTACTTGCAACACAAAAAAAAACTTTTTTCTGCTTTTGCACAGAACATTTGCATTTGCACTTGTGCCATATATTTTTTGGTCACAGCACCATCCTTAATATAATTTGTTAAAGTTTTTACACTTGTTGGGCACTTTATTTCTACCAAAGTACTTTTTTTATAGATGCCATCAGGTGAGCCTGCAATCATAGGATATGTTTCTGAAATAGAAAGACCACATTTTTCAATCTTATGGCCCAATTTTTTTTCTACTGTTTTCCTTACTTTTTCTTCTAATTTTTGCCCTCTTTTCATTGCTGAAGTTAGTGGAGTCCTTGCTCCAAGAATAGCCGCTACTAAGGAGCCATCCACAGTTTTGCATTTGCTCACTTCGTAGCATTTTGATGCTGTAACTCTTCCATAACGTAGCTCATACCAAAAGCTTGTTTGATGCTGGTGCCTTGTCTCTTTTTCAGCATTTCTTAAGTTAATATCATTAAATACACTACTGATATTATTTAAAAATGAATTACAATCCAGTCTTTCATTAAATTTGCACATCAAATAATGTAAAGAAAGCATATTAATTTTTTTTCAGCATAGTTAATCTCATGTTTGAGCAGCTGGCATGAGCTTATTTTTCTTTTTTTACATTCAGTCACAAAGATTTCTGCGACACTTTTATGTGGTGCTACTTCTGGGGTTTGAGTACTACTTCCTTTTCTTTTCTTCAATATGTCCTTAGCAAGTAATATTTTTAGAGAAGATCCAACTTTAGATAAAGTAGATTTCCTCCAATAGCACTCAATAGCAGTGCAAGGTGGCTCTTCACTCCGACGATGACACCACATTAAAAAAGCAACAGCATGCTTACAACCACCTTCAGATGCTGGACAGTCATGGCATACTACACTTTTAATTTCTTCTTCCTGTTCATCAACAGTAAGTGTGCAAGAGTATGGCTTGGAACGCACTTTGTGTTCAGGACACATTTTGCATTTGACAACGCATGTCTGCTGATCTCTTTTCAGCTGCACATACCCAACAGCATCATCGCCATACGTTTCTCTGGCTGACCTATAAAAAAAATGAAAAGTTACGATACCTACTTATTGTTTACACATAACCTCAAAACACGTAAGGATACTTTCATACACAATAAAACTATTTAGTTTTAAATACAAGTTGTAATTTAAATACATTATACTTACATAGCTGTTTTGATATTTCTGCATTCGGCAGAAAAAAAGTCGGTATTACACGCAAAGAACTTTGCAATCATTACCGCATCTATTTTCGGGAGATTAGTACTTTCGGCTTTTACAAAACCGACGTCCATTTTAATTAAGTAAAACTAACGTATTAAAATATTAAATCTTTTAAATTTAAGCTTCAAAACACATTAAACTCAATAAAAATATTAAATTTCTATGAGCGCTGGTAGGTAAGTAGTTTGTTGTTTGTAAAACGAGTGACGGACGACGAGCTTTAGTGAAATTGACGTCACATCATGGCGGTCGGCGTTTTCAATCACGTGACATACAGATAATGAAACCTCAATTTTAATTTTGAAAAATAAAATTAACCTTAGGTTTTCATGGGAAAATAACTTTATATTTGCATTTTCCGTGATGAAAACTATCCAAGTAATATAATTTCATAATTTATTGTTGATATAAGAAAATGGCCTATTATAGAGATTAAATGTCCTTATGCTAGTAGGTATCAGACAATAAATCCCACTACTGTTCCTTATTTAGAACTTTTAAACGGGGTATTAAAGTTAAAAAAATCAACACCATACTACTTTCAAGTCCAAAGGCAATTATATTGCTCCGGCAGATCATACTGCAATATGATTATATATACTTACAAAGATTTGAAAGTAGTATATGTAGAAAAAGACAACTATTTTATAAGTAGTATGCTGGCAAAATTAGACTGTTTTTATAACAACTATTTTAAAAGTGCCTTGTTAGAAAAGCATATTTATTATAATTATTGTGAAAATTTCATAAAATAAAACTTAATTTCTTTGTTAGTTATTTTTATTTACAATTCCTTCTCGAAAATTACAGAGCATTATACATATAAAAAATATTTTTGATGCTAACGGAACATAGAAATGGTTCAGTTCATTTCTTAATATTAAATATGTTTTGGTTAAACCTATAAGCCTTTCAATATGAACCCTTTGGCTACCCAACTTCTGGTCTAATTTAAGTTGAACACCTGTGTGATTTGCCTTTTAAAAAGTGAGGTATATTGATACCTATTCCTTTAGAAGCAAACAGGTCCTGCACATTAAAACCTCTGTCTGCCATAATACTATCCCCAGGATCACATATCTGCAACAAAGGACTGCGCTCAACTATCTGGCGGTCACTCACAGAACCAGCATATGCACTCGAACAGTATGTCATTAAACCTCCTGGTGAACCACCTACCAAGAATTTTAAAGTATTTTTATGTTTATAGGTGCTGAATGAGGCTTTCTGGTCATTGGGTTGACTAGGTTTTTGAATATTTATTTCAGTTCCATCTATAATCACCCTTGTAGAAGGATAATATTTTTTAAAACTATTTGGCATATAAAAATCCACTAATTTTCGGCATGGCCAAATATCAACCAAACTCCAAACGTCATTAACAAAATTTATCCAAGTCACTATTATATTAGAGACCTCAGTCTTACTGACACCAAATATTTTGCTCAGTTCAAAATCCGTAGTGTTTCTCCTAAGTTTAATTAATAACATGAGAAATTGGTCCTCTACTGATAAACAAACTACTTGACTCCAACGGTATTTTAAACGATTAGCCATAGGTAAAAGTGTGCTTAGAACTAAAGAAAACTTTGCAGATGTTTCTAATCCAGTATAATAATGCACTGTCTCATGATCTGCAAGTAACAGCTCAGTTGAGAATAGTCTTAATATGTTTGATGTCTGAGTGCCACAAGTGTTTTGATTTACAACATAAGACAATGGTGATTTGTCACATTCATTTTCAACTACAAGCTCTTGAGATACATTGCAATCAGTCATATGCCCATCGTCATCTTCTTTAAGTGGCACTATGTCCTCACAGGATTGAGAAGTAGAAGGCATTTCAAAAAGCAGTTTCTTTTTAAGGTTACGGGCTTTTAATCTATCTTGTCTTGCCTTTGCCTTCTCCGAAACTGGTTGTGTGTTCCATGCAAAGACAGATGGTACAGCACTTTTCTTGACATATTTGTGCTGGTGTTCAACTCCTGTAACAAAAAGTTAGGAATGTTATTAACGTCTTAATACAGCACTAATTAAACTAACTTATCTTATTGTTATCGTAAGATGTTTATACTTATTAATAGTTAGTACAAGAAATTGTTGGCAAGCAGGTTACCTGTGTATTTGCTGATTTTTTCGTAATCACTTTCCATAAAATGTTTCCGACATAACCTGGAATTATTTGTTGGAATCAAATCTTCACGGCGAATGGCTTTTAACCAAAGCCGACGAATTTTATTATCTTTTGGGATATGATGGACTCCTATTTCCGAGCATTTCAATACAATACATCGAGTCATTTTGATAGAATAAATATTTTTAACGAAGAGAAATGCAATGTTTTGGGCACCAGCTATAACAGCGCCACTTTGACAGTTGCCAACCCCATTAAATTATTGGCTGAAAACTTTTCGTCACACTTCAAGGGACCAAAAGGTCAATACCCAATGCTAGTTATCTAAAACCTTTGTTTAAATGTCATCTGTCAAAGTAAAACTTTTGACATTTCGCGCTCAATTTTGGAATCAAATCAACTTTTGGAAAACTTTTGGAACTTCAACAGTAAGTGTAAATTGGAGATGGAGAAAATGATAGCTAGTGTGTGGATGGCGGCCTATTTTGTTCGTTGGTTAGTGTTTTTGTTGTCCTTATTAATGAATAATCAAACCTATTTACTTAAAATACTGCGATTAAGTAATGTTCACGAAATATTCCATGTACCTAAAGTGTTTGAGCATGTTCATGTCCAGATCTTGAAAATGGGACACGCAACAAGTTTTTACCGTAATCTCGTAGATTTGATACACTAAAGCATAAATACATTTACTTGTAAACTTTTCTGTTTTTGTTTTAGTAAAATAAACGAGTACCGCAGAGCGACGCGGCGCTCGCGGCGGCTAACAGCGGTAGAGGCCCGGCGGCGGGCTGGCGCCATGCAGCTGCCACCAATACCCCTGCCGTGGGATTGGCACCCTGACAAAGCGTCAGCGCCCATAAAGATACCGGTGCCCTCCTGGTGGAGGCACCCACATTTGATTTTCGGTCGGCGGGGTTGTGACTAAACCTTTAGTCACAACCCCGCCGAAAATATACTATGAACTGTAACATATGTTGTTTAATTTTGCCAAATACCTATTATATACACAAACCTTAAATCTATAGACCTATTACGTCTTCTGCAAGAGATTCCAAACAAGTGTCAGAGGTGCTGTAAATAGGTACTTAGGTAGGTAGATACCTATGTTACATAGTTGTAGTAGTTCCAAACAACAATAGACGTCTTTAGCAAGATTCCCCTAATTTACCTAAACAAGTTTCTTTGGTTGCTTCAAAAGAAACTTGGGTATAGTACATTTAGGTAGGTACTTATTGTGTTTAGGTTATCCTAAAACATTTCGATAGTTGGCTATAGCGCCTGGTGGACGTAGTATTTAAAATCTTCAAAGGCACCGACGTGCATTGTATTGCCGTTATCAGCAAACTACCTAGTGTGATTCTATTGTGCGTGTGTGTGTGGCATGTGAAATTTTAGGTTTCTTGGTAAAAGATAAAGATGATCGAGACAACAATAAAAAAAACACCACACACAGTGATCAGTCTTACATGGACATCCTTTAAATTGTTCTGTATTTACAACCTCAATTATTTATTACGTCGTAGATTATAAAGGATTTTGTTTGATTTAAAAGTTGTTTATCGTTTCTGGATACCTATTTCGTAAATACTTTTATAAAATAAGTACCTACCTCCATAATGTTGATTACATATGAATTTAGTAAAGATATTATTTCATAAGATTATTTTAATAATCATTGTTTATATTCTTCATATGCTCCATAATTCACCGTAAAAGTGAACCAAAAAATATTACATCTCGACCTCAAATTGACTTTACTTCCGGTCATTCGGTTTTTGTCGTAGGTTAGGTAATTTTACACTATTTACAATTTTTAAAGATATTCTATCAGAATCATAAATTATAAAATAAAATCATATCATAAATTATATATATATATTAATCTGGTTTTAAATAAACTGATCTTAATTTAATACTTTACATATTTGTGTCGTCTTTCATAAAAGTATGTATTTTCTAAAATAAGTATCTTTTGAATTAATTGAAATCTGAATGTTGGCACTAAAGAAAGAAAAAACTTATGATTTGTTTACGTAGGTACACGACGTGTGGAGCGTACAAAATGTAAGTAGTATTGTTATAAATAATTACAAAGTACTTAAACCAGTTCAACTTAGAATGGATAATTTACAGTATTGGTTAGGTATATTTGTGTCCGATATAATTATTTCGTGTCTGATATTAATATTCTCAAGAGAATTTACACACAAGTACAGCCATATTAGTTAGTCAGTTTAGCATATTCTACTTGCGTATTCTCTCTTTAGGGAAGATGAAAACACGCGGACCAGGGACTGGACGCCGGTGGTGGAGACTGAGGCAGGTCCAGCACCGGGGCCCAGTCTAAGGGAGCTGCTGGCCGAAGCCAAGGCTACCACATTGGTGGTGGCTCCGAAACGGCGATATCCGTGGGCCGATGAGGCGGCGCAATGGCCTACGCCCAAGGGGAAGGGCGTAGGCAAAAAAACTAAGAAAACTTTACCTAACCTACCTACCTAATATAGTTTACTTATAGATTATAATCGTGTTTTATTTGTATGTGAACTATTATGTACCAATATTTATTATTTATATACAAAGTCGAATGCGAAGCCGGCAGCGTAGTGAGTAGATGGAAATAGGTAGGTAGGTACCTACCAATACCAATAGCAGTAGGTAATGAAGGAGGTCACGTACAACTGTTAATTTACATTTTAAGACATAGGATACCTATCTCAAGTTTTTATTAGGTAGATATTGTTACACATATGCACTAGATTTGTCGGCAATTTTTTAACATTAACATTGTAGGTATCTAAATAAATATGTATTTGAAGACAAGAAAGGATTGTGGATCGGATAAGGTAGACCAGCGTATATTCGTCGTCGACATTGTAGGTAGGTAGGTAGGTATATATATTCAATTTAGGTAATACTTATGTATCAGTCGTATAAACTTAAAAGAAACGAACGCATAACATCCTTTCTGTCAGTTCAATTTGGGGTTGCCCCCCGTAGAAAAAAATTATTTCGTTATGAATGACGGGGTACCGCTGCTCCATGCTTGGGCGCCGCAGGCACCGCGCGTCTCGCTCGCGCATGTTATTGACGTTCGGGAAAAATCGCGAAGGGTCGTGCGGCCGAAAGCCGCGCCGGTCGTGCGGAGATGCGGCGAGCGCGCATGTGCGAGCGAAGCTCGGTAACATTCGGCTATGTTCGGGTGGCCGAGTGCTGGGAGCCTACCTAACATCTACCGCTGCCTCTCGCGTTACATACGTTTAAAAATCCGACATCAAGCTCCTTTTTTTTTGAAGTCGGATTATTAAAAATTTAAGTTGAATCTTATTAAATAAATTATTCTCATTCTAATAGAGTATTGATATTCTCATTTCAAAGGCGAAATTCACCATTGTCGCAATTAATTTGAGCTCAGCTGCCATAGAATGAAATAAAGCACTCTATATAAGCTTTCTTGAGATATAGTAGGTACTAACCTATTTTGGCCACATTGCGCGTAGAGACCCCAACAACCTGGAGAAGCTTGTGGTTGTTGGTCAGGTTAACGGGAAAAAACCTCGTGGTCGCTCACCCACCTACTTTAAATGTACTATTTTATGAGTTGATTTGTGATCTCAATTGCCTAAGAAATAAAGATGATTATATATAACACATTTCAATCGTATTTCATTTTCCAAAAATAATAACATTTTAACTTTGGGGTAGGTACTCGAGCACCCCCTGTAAGAAAATAGGATGATAAAAGAGGTGTAGGGCTTAAGGGTTAAGCATTAAGACTCGACTAAAGAGACACCATGAAAACTTTAATTGGTTTAATCTGAGAACGCAGTATAAAAGATTTTTTAGTACACTCGCAGAAATATAAAGAGGATGCCTACTACTTTGCCGTCACCGGTCACACGGCACGGCAAGTGTCCATATATCAATTATTTTTCAGTTACTTAGTTTATATTTTTCAAAGATATAAAAAAGAAAACTGAAAATTAAAACGAATACTTTTAAAATACTTTTTTACTCTGACTGAAATCAAAACATCCTTAATACGACTACGAAGCTAGCTACGCCGTAGCTTTAAGCGTAGCATAGATAAAGCGCAAGTCGTGTAGCGCGGTGCGACCGCTACGCATTTCTTGTGTTTATCGTTTTATTTCAATACTAGCTGATGCCCGCGGCTTCGCTCGCGTAGGTTACGGATAAAGTGATTAACTTGCGAAATATCAACCCATATTTTCTCCTCTTTGCGTTTTGATATTTTACCGCAAATATAGTGCGCAAGTCATATACCTATCTACTAACTTGGACCCTTGTTCAGTGAAAAAACCCCTGAAAAGATATCATTTTTTTAATCAGTGGCGTTAGTAAATATGTACTGTAATCAATAATTTAGTGTTACTTAGATCAAAAATAATGTAGGTACATGGCATACAAATTTTCAACCCTTATTTCATCTCTTCTAAGGGTGCGTCCACATCTGGCGAATGCGCCGCGAATGTGCCGCTCACGAGCCGTTTGCGGGTTGCCCGCGAACTGCGCGTTTGCTGACATGGGAATGGTTTGGTGCAGAATCATAATAATAAACCAAAAAACATTCTATAAAATACTAGCCAAGTCTCGATGGATCTGCTCGTTCATGTCTAAGTAATGAAATCTAGACAAAGTCGTGTGAAGTCTAAGGTTCCTTTCTACGATTTCTTTATTATTATAGTTAATGTTGTGTGAGTTGGCCGTTGAACCACTACCTATTGAACCAGAATAAAATTTAATGAGTCCAAATAAATTGTTCCAAACGGACTTTCGTTGAAAAATATATTTTTGGGTCGAATTTAAGAAATAATGTAGGGAGTGATAGGTACACCATTTGAGAATCCTTTTAAATGCGCCAACTTTAGTGAAATTTGCCACTACTACCGCAGTACAATTTTTTCAGTACAGTCACTTAAAGTAAGATGAAAAAAATATTAAGAACATTTGGTAATTCAAAAAACGTCATTCTTTTCCAAACTAAAGCAGTTGGCTCAGTATTTACAATTCCATAATACTGAACAAAGCACTATTCAGGATATCGTAAGCAATAATTATTACATTCCGAGGTGCAACTATTATTTTCCTAGGCTAAGTTGTCATAACAGAACATAATTTAAAGGAATAGATAGACTGCATGATTGGCGTTGAGTAGGTACGTACCCCATGGTGTTGTTATACAATGGGAAAAATAGGATCAATGTACTCAGTTCACGAGTAGGCATAAACGGAGGTAGAACTTAGTATATTTACTGAAAACTTTAATAAAAGACAGTTGATCTTAGATCAGTAATACAGAAATCAACCTTCGACCCTGGAGTTACATAAGTAACTCTCATAAGAGTATCAAAAATCAAAATAACCAAATTTAAAATTTAAAGAATTGTAGTCATACAAGAGTATCTTTAATTCGATCGATACACACAAACATTGACTGCTATGGATAACCCACCTTAGATTACCCACACAAAACCATTATAATTTGACGGAAATCGTCTAAAAATGTCTTAACGCTAACGGACGCGGGTTGCAGGTAGTTAAACCAATTTCGTTGATCTGGGTCAACAGTTTTTTTTAATCAATAGATATAATTTTATTTCACACATTTGCTTTTGTCAACACCCCGCAATCCCTACATCCGTTTGCTCAGAATTAGTAAAAACTCACGCTCTGCCATTTCGGTTGAAAAAGAACCCCGTAATTTATAAGATAGTTATGATAGACAGTAGAATCTTGCCTTTAAAATGTGATACCTACAATGTACCAGTTATTTTATACCTACCCATACTATGAATACCGTGCTAATTAATAAGAATTTTAAAATCCAAACGAACCCTTTTGATTACTTTTTGCCTGGGAGTCGAACGACGCTCCTTGCTCAGAAGTTAGGGTGTTGTACATATTTTACTAGGTACTTACATATACATAAATTAATTTATTTCATATTAAGTTATAGTACCCTGTCTAACACTGACTGCACGGTTGAGCTGCTGTGCAACGTATTGCAGGTTCGATTCCTGCATGAACTAACTCTTTATGTGACCCAAAAATGATCCACGGTCCACATAACTAGGGTTGCAATGTTTCTTTATAGGGAGATTAATCTAGGTAGAAAAATAGGCAGGCTACCGCGAGATCAACGAACTGGCTTTATAAAAAAAAGTTTTTTTTTTAATATTCGAAGAGAAGACTAGTTTTTTATTTCATTCATTAATCGATAGTTTCGTGCCTACACCAAAGCACAGAAGTGGTAAACTAAGTAAATACTTAACTTTCACAGAATAATTTGTATCGATCTAAAAATAATAATATCCTGCATGTGACCGAGGTTAACTCGTCGAGTACCGGTTTTATAGACACAATTAAAGAACAATAGGTCGCGGTCACCGGTGACCGCTTGGTGTTTGACAGTTTAATTAGCATATGACAGACCAACATACAAACACAACAGAAATATCATTTTGTTTTAATTTTTTTCTCTGTTCCTGTTTATTTATCCCCCTATTTTTGTTTTATTGAGAAATATTGAATGAACAGACACACTATTTTGTTTTTTTTATAAACCTTTCACGTAGGTACAGATAATGACTAATATTAATAGTTATTTGTAGCTAACCCAGAATTTTGGTAACTTTTTTCTCACCTTTTAAACCTTCCCTGGCGTTAAATAAATATTGCAAGACTTAAATTAGCCAAATGGGTCCTGCCGTTATCGAGCTCATTCATTTTTCTATATGTATAATTAGATTGTTGTTTCCTATTTTATTTAAATATTGTGATTGTGATTATAAAACATAAAAAAGCGCAAATCTTACGAAATCTGGCTTGGGCCCCAACCTCGCGATATTTTTGTTCCCTACCCTATGGTAGGGAATAGTTGAATACTATAATTAGGTAAAAAATAATTAGGTAAACAGTAATCAAGTATAATTTGCAAATATTATTCTCGGACGTTGCGCTATTGCCATACCACTGTTATCTAATTTACACTCTGAAAATAATAAATGATTGAATTTAGAAATTTAAATACTTACTGATAGACAGGTAGCTACCATTAGCCACGTTTCTAGTGAGGCACCAAAGAACAAGCAGCTAGCTATAGCTTCAACGGTGTCGTTCATCAGAATGTCTCGAAAACGATTTATTGATCCTTTTTATACAAATAACTTACCTTATTATGTTATACTTGTTAATTAGCTACGCAGCTGTAGACGCTGTACTAGATACTCGTGGCTACCTATCAACAAACTTAATAAGCTAAGTCCTTTACTTGTAAGTATATAAAAAATACTCGACAGGTAACTAAACCAAATCAAAGGCATTAATGACAATTTTATTTAAAAGTTACACTAAGTCTTGTAATACATTATCCTATTCAACTATCCTTTCACTTCATATTCTATTTTTACATTCCTAGGTATGTTACCCGTTCATTAATATTTTTTTTAATATTAACATTTTTCTATACTTAGAGTACAACTTTGTAACCTGTAAGTATTTACGATTTTACAATCTTCTAATAGTATATTTCACTACAAGCTTTTCTAAAATTAGTAAACCAGTCAAACAACGCATATAAATGCTAGAATCGTTGACAGATGGACAATGGGTCAGGATATAGGACGAGGGTGAGGAGTGTCACTACGGGGGCAGTACTGTGCCAGCGAGCTAAGCGCCGCCCATAGCAGTGCCCTGGGCGTACGTCGCCCCACGTCAACGTCGCGATAGAGAGGCAAATGGGCCTATTTGGGAGCGAGAGCAGGACATGCACCCGAAGGCGGGGCACTAGCGAGATAAACGGCGGTGCCCACTCCACCGCTCATTCGTCTTTCGCTTAGCCTCCGCTATGTAAACCGGCCTTGTTGTGAATCTAAACAAAATCGGTCAGTCGTCGTTTTGTTGCCGTAAGAGCAGCGCGTCGGAGGTTCCGCGCTTTCGGGTTGAGCATGTTGCGACAGTGAACGTAGCCGGCAAAATGCACGCGTTGTTTGGTGAACAGAGCCCGTATGCGTACCGCGGAGGAGCCGCCGGTGGTTACTCAGCCGGAGTGACACCTTATGCCTATGAACAATACCGCTATGGATATGGAGCTCCCTACCTTCACCCCCATCAACAACACGTTGGTGCCCCTAAAGACATGGTCAAGCCGCCTTACTCTTACATAGCACTCATAGCTATGGCCATACAAAACGCTCCTGAACGACGAATAACTCTCAACGGTATTTACCAATTTATTATGGAAAGATTTCCTTATTACAGAGAAAACAAACAAGGCTGGCAAAACTCCATAAGACACAACCTAAGCCTCAATGAGTGCTTTGTGAAAGTGGCAAGAGATGATAAAAAACCTGGTAAAGGCAGTTACTGGACTCTTGATCCTGATTCATATAATATGTTTGATAATGGCTCGTACTTACGCCGTCGGCGTCGCTTTAAAAAGAAAGACGCGCTTAGAGAAAAGGAAGAAGCTTTAAAGAGACAACAGCAGCTGCAACAAGCTCAGGAGGCACTCACTGCGCAGGAGGCGCTGACTGCATCCGACACTCTAGGACAACAACGTGACGTTAAACCTGATGTCAAACCACGAATCTTTGAATGTCGACCGAAACGAGAACCCGGCGCAGACTGTGCAAGATATGACAAACCTGTGGACGGTCTTGATGACTTCAGTGAACCTCGACTTCCAGCTTCCGCAGTTTATTGTTCACCTCAACCGTACTCGTTGGTGGCCGAGGAATTTCGAGCCGCTACATCAGGGTGGTATGCCGCGCCCGAACCTCCGGCGGAACAACTGCCTCCGGCGTTCCGCGACCTCTTTGAACCGCCAAGCTGCCAACTAGCCGGGTTCCGCAGTGGTTCACCCGTACCAGACGCGTACCGTGCGTCGCCACCGCCACATCACCATTATCGCACACCGGCACCTTCATACTATCATCACCAAGCCTGTGTTGCCGCAGGTCCCGCGCCAGCCCATAAGTCCTACTGAGACCTAGCTCTCAGGTAAGCTTCATTTAATGTTTCCTAGTGTAAATGCTTGCGCTCTGCGATGTTTCTTTCCAAGTAGTGTAGCGTTCGCGAATGCCGCTGTGCGTGTCGGTCAGCCGCTCCGTCGGACCATCGAGGGAGCGCCGGTGTGCACCGAGACACTTCGTGACGTGGTTGTGGTTGCAGGAGGCCGGCATCGCTCGGCGCCGAACGGATTTAGCCGCACGCGTCAGTTCCAGAGCGGATAAATATAGCGCAGTAGCCGGAGATGCCGTGGAGGCAAGTGGCGGCGCGTCGATAACCACTGTTTACAGATCGGCGGCCGACCCTGCCGCCTCCCGCTCCGTTCACACCTATAGGTATGTCGAAACTCCACATGTGTTAGAATACTAGACGTAACAATAAGTGGTGACGCGGGCAGGGTGTGCGTGCGCAAGCCCGTGTGAGTGCGCCTGGAATCGCCGTTGGCTCCTCCATCTCTGAAGTTTCAAGGAAGTTCCACAAAGGCGGTTGTTTTGGCTTGTTTTGGACATACATCGTAGGTACCGTTTTACGGATCTACTTGTTACAGATACCGGCTGTTTGTAAATTTCTCAAAATTTGCTTTAAAAGTCTTATAAAAACATTTTCTTAAGTTTTGTACTTTATCTGTCCAATAACTGACCATCTGGTGACCAAGTGCTCGACCACAAAAAATATAACAAAAGCGTATGCTTGGGAACCTAATGCTAATGATGAAACAACAATATGTTTCTCGGAGGGTAAACTAAACGCTGAACAACATTAATGATCACACGTAAACTATAGGACATACCTACACAGCAATCTACTCGACTGCAATAACAAGTACAATTAATTACTTACTCAAACAAACGTGGGACGAGCCGTAAAATTATGAATCCTTATTTGCCTTCAACGTGCAAATATTGGCGCGCGAATTGAAGTAGAGCCTCACTGCGTAACTTCTACTTAAGTACTTAGCGTACACGTAAATACGGCATTATGATGGAGGAATGGCATTTCATTTTTCTCATAGAAACAAAAGCCGTTTTCGTAATAAGTTTTTTCTTCACATCTAACAAGGGTGCAATTAGAAACCTCTAAATTTATTAGTGTTTCTCTACTATATTATACATGTATTATACATATAAACTTTCTTTAAAAATCACTCTATCTATTAAAAGAAACCGCATCAAAATCCGTTGCGTAGTTTTAAAGATCTAAGCATACATAGGGACAGACAGACGGCGGATAGCGACTTTGTTTTATACTATGTAGTGATTATGTAGGATACCTATGTATGATAATTTTTTCACTTAAGTAGTACCTATATCAGTATTCTGATACACCTCAATATACTAATTAGGCTACTTAATCTTTTTCTAGTATTCTGCATCTTTGGATAGAACTACTAGAACTAGAAGATATGTATAACTAGCTATAACACGCCGAAAATATTTGGCAGTTTTATCAATATTTCGATTACAACTACAACACATACAAATTGGTGCGTAGATTATTTATAAATATTCCTATTACCTAAAAAAAAAAAATCGACCAGAGGCGAGTCCGTCCGTTCGTACCATTCGTTCAATTATGACCTAAATGTAGCATAAATGAAATTAAAATGAAGTCTGTTGTATAGGAAGATCCTTAAATATTTATTTCAATTTGTTTTTTGTATTTGTTGATATAGCGGCAACAGAAATACATCATCTGACAAAATTTCTATTGACACAAGGACGGATATACAGCCGAGTCTTAGTAACAGAGTTCCCGGTTTTTACCCATTGGCTACAGAACCATAATAAAAGCAAAATTAAGATAAGTTCCTTAGAAATAATCATATAAGCAAAGCCTTTCTTACTTACTTAAATATTAAGTTGCAATAAAGTGCCTAATACGTGCGTATTAGTGTCATGGTGGCCCGGAGGCTGAAGACGTCTTCTTAATGAGGTCCGGTTCGAAACCTACCAAGTACTAATAGAATGGTACCATCTCGGAAAAAATCTTTTCCGAGTTGTACTTCCTCAAACGATGCCAAACGATGAAGGAAAACAGCTTGAGGATACCTGGGCTTATAATGTCTAATTATAAGTTTGAAATCGCCAAACTGCATTGAGCGAGCGTGGTGATTAATGATCAAACCTTCTCTGTGTGAGAAGAAACCTTTGGTCAATAGTGGCCACTTATAGGCTGTTGATTTGTGATGTGTGCTCAATACATATTAAAATGCGAAAATTTGAAATAAATGTTCAATTCAATAAATATCAGAACACTGCTCTGCATTCGAATGGAATTGTGCCTGGTGTACCTATAGCAATAGGCTGACCCCCTATTACATGGGACTCATAACATAAATAGTGAAAAGTAGGTGTTACATTGAACAGTAGCATTAAGTGCCACCTCTGCTTACCCCTTCGGGAATAAAAAGGCGTGATGTTATGTTAAATATGTTTTGTGTTAAGTTTTAGAACACTTATTACATAACTATCCACTGGCACACGCGACAATGAAGCACACATCAGGGTGCTTACTTTTGAAACCAATCTCAATGTCAATGCAATTTCAATAAAATCTCAATAATTATTCAATATCAAAATTTTACAACCCCTATCGTAGCTGTTAAAATAGCACTCAAAATACGGAGTATAAAGCCAAACTCACCCACTCACACCACGCAATACGGATGCAATGGTCGGTAATGTTGCAACGCAAGAGTATGAAATTTCACAATACGCCCTCATGGCTAGAAAGTACCCATTAACTATCAATTTGTTTGGAAAACTGGAAAACGGGAATAACTTAAGCTTAACGATAAGACTTGAATTGTTGTATTTAATAAGTTCCTACCTATGTATATAATTCTTTCTAGATACCACTTTAGAATGAGCGATTTGTTAAGTTATGCTATCAACAAGCAATACACAAAAGTTCTCTTTCGTTATTGAGACTGAGTGATTGAACCACGAAGCGACTGACTGACTGACAGACAATACACAGTTGAATTTACTAGTCGTAACAAGCTGAATTTTTGCATGTATATAAGTAGATTTTTAAGAAGCAAATAAGGATCACACTAGGGGATTGAAGCGAGGTTAAGTTACTTACGGTTACTTAGCGAGGCTCGAATATTTAGTTCATATGTCAAACGAGGACTCGATGTTCCTCCTTCAACATATTAACTAACTAGCGACCCGCCCCGCACGGGTGCAATATGCATATATTATACATATAAACCTTCCTTAAAAATCACTCTATCTATTTAAAAAACTGCATTAAAATCCGTTGCGTAGTTTTAAAGATCTAAGCATACATAGGGACAGAGAGACGCGGATAGCGACTTTGTTTTATTACCGACTTCAAAAAAGGAGGAGGTACCTACTATGCTCGGCTGATTTTTTTTTTTGTTTGTTCGTGCAGTACTCCGTCATTTGTGAACCGATTTCCAAAATTCTTGTTTTGATTGAAAGGGTATACTCCCGAGATGGTCCCATTTCTATGAGGTCAGGATCTGATGATGGAATCCTAGGGAAACCGAGGGGAACATTCGAAAATTCTATGGGCGAGTAGTGCGTCTATTATGTTTTTCAATTACGATTTTTAAACACTACAATTTTAAAACAATAAAGTCTCTATCCGCGTCTGTGTTTTACTGAAACTTTTGACTTAACAAGTGCCGGTTTGATCGTAAGGTATTTTGATTGCGTAAGGTAATTTGATGAACAACACACAAATGTCTAACTTATCATCAACTGACTCAGTCCCCTACTCTACAATAGGAGCTTTAATTCACTATGCGAGTAGGTAAAAGTACTCTTTCATCTCTTCTCATCGTTAACAAGAATAAGAGGCGTGATGTTTGGATCTATATATTCAGGATCTGGGCGGAGAGTCGGAACATCAGTAGGAGGAACACCTCATAATCCACGAATGTCGTAAAACCTTACGATTGAACACTATAAATATTTTAACGCTCCACTATATTCCATAAAACATAGATATGTAGATAAAGTATTATTTATTATGTGTCGGCAAATACTTATCGATCGAACACCAGTTTACTGTATAAGCAATACATATTTTATTGTTGTTATTATATTATACCCAGCTAAAAATAAAATATTCTGTAATTCTTCGAAGCGTGAAGGAACAGGTATTACGTAGGTACATAAGTTTATATTTTTTTAATAATTTCATTTTAGCTTCAGTACATTCATTGATAATGCGGTTTTCTTAAACCAACTTGGAAATTTTATTTTGTTTGCTTATTACTATGAAAAGTTAAGTAGAATTTCGGTGGTATTAGAATATGAATGGAAATTCAGAAATAATATTCACTTTTAACATAGAGGTACAAAAATAAAATAACATTACCTCTACATCTTTTCGTCGTATTTCGATATACATATTTTTCGCCATTTGCATTATGTTTGCCCCGTAAGACGAAGAGGACTGAGGTCGTTGTCCTTGTTTAAAAAAAAAAATTCTAAGCTCCTTGTCAAATAAAACCTTAGTAGGTTGATCAGCAGTCGGATGCATTGCAACCAATCGCCATGTATGCAGCTCTATACAGAGTTATTCACCTGGTGACTGCTTTGTTGCGCTACCAATCTGGTGGCGTAATCTGTTTAGCCAGCTTCAACCCCCCTTTTTTTGAAGTCGGTTAATTATAACATAACATAACATCACGCCTTTTATCCCCGAAGGGGTAGGCAGAGGTGCACATTATACCACTACAATGTAACACCCACTTTTCACTATTTATGTTACGAGTCCTATGTAATAGGGGGTGAGCCTATTGCCATATACCGGGCACAATTCCAGACTCCGTGCTACTTACTACAGAGATTTTTTTTTAAACCCAGTTGTACTTTGCCCGACCCGGGAATCGAACCCGAGACCCCTTGCCCGGCAGTCGCACTTGCGACCACTCGGCCAACGAGGCAGTCAGGTTTTAGAATATCAATCTATTTCAATAAAGGAGGTTGAATTCGGTTT